CTCACAGCGGTATGGTCGCTATGTATTCTGGATCTGCTGCCGAGGCGGGAAGCTTTGAAAGGGAACATCGTTTCATAGAACCAAGCTTTGGAAGCGGATGCTGGTAGGTCAGCGCCGCTGTTGCTTGAGGATGGCTACAGTCGTTGATTGGTTTCTTGAGTTCTTGTGTCGAGAAGCTGTTGCCTCGCTTGGAGCCCCAGATCAGCTGAGACAGTGTGTGGAGAAAGGACTCAAGCTCCTTTCGATCAAGCTTGCAGTAAGAGGTCTAGGAGGCAATCTTCTTTTTTGCTGCATTTGTGTGGTTCCTTGCAGAGCCACAACAAGAATGCTGTGAGTTAGACTCCTTCATTTTTTCATCAAGAGCTGCTAACGCAGACAAAGAGAGATGTTTTTTTTTCTTTCTCAGTGCGTCAGGAACCATTCAATTTTTGAACCCTGAGCGCACAACATGAGGTACGCTCTTGGTACCAAAGCGCAGGCAGGCTCTCACCCCGAGTTGATGGATTAGAGACAAATTACAAGTTGCTTGCAAGTCCAAGGCTCCGTACTTTATTGTGAAGCTGTATTCCCCAAACAGTGTGGTCAGACAAGGGTTCTTCTGGTAGTAGTTGAGGCTAGATTTGATTGAGGGTGCTCACTGGCGTGCGCGGATAATTCGCTGCTATGTTCGGTCCCAATGCGAGCACACCTGTGGAAGTAAACAAATGAGAACACACATATGTGAGCGAGAGATAGAGAGGAGAGCACATGCAAAAGTAAGAGCACACCTATGAGAGGTTTACAAAGTGCTACACCTGACGCCATGCAATCTGCACTGCGAGGTTCACAAAGTGTGCCTACCACCAAATCTGCACATCGAAGTAAAACGGTTCCGATCCTGCTGAGAAAAGCATAGGAAAGTCGACTTCAGAGCCATACGATGATTCATCTCGCGCCTGCCAAAATAATGTGCATGACACCGACCACAACGACCCATACACCTGCCAGATCCATCGAGCGCTTGGTGTCAGGGATTGCCCACTGCCGGCTCCGAACAGGAGGAACTATACTGCGGCAAAGGTGCGAAAAGACCTTGGCTTCGAAGGGTAAACATGTTCACCGGCGCCCGTGTGCCAAAATGGCAAAATCTTTGAACCAAAATGGCAAGCAAGCCATTTTGGCTATTGAACTGTATTGTCCAGAAACAATACGTGCTTTCTCCACATGTTCCAAGCACGTATAACATATGGGCTTGTCTTTTTTTAAGGTGTCACGTTTATGTAGGGCTGGGATGTTCGACTTAGGCGAAGCATACCCTCTGGAAATGCTACTGCTTTGGTCTTCACACTGCGCGAAGCATACCCCGAAGCATACCCCCGAAGCATACCTCCGAAGCATACCCCATAGTCAAACATCCCGGCCCGGGAACCTTAAAAAAATACAAACCCATATTGTCCCGGCAAGAGACCCCAAACAGTGTTAAGTAGCGCCAGCGGCCCACAACTCCACCATCTGGCTACCTGGCCATGCCGCCACCTCACGCTACGCCCCGCCGTGCCTTGGGCTACAAGGCGGAGGAGAAAGGGTTGACGACCATCGTCCTTGCTCCTAGTAGCGATGCCAGGAGCCCCTAGTAGCATCCTTGCTCCTAGTAGGACGCTTCCGACGCTGCTGACTCTGTTGGTCTAGCGAGATGACGTCATCTCCAGCAAACCATGGGTTTGCCTTCAGTCAGGAAGGGCCACGCTTGCATTCCCCGATGAAGGAGCCTTCTTTTGGACTGAGCGCCGATAACTGACGGTCGGGCGCCAGGAGCCCCCCCAACACCCTGTTGCGAACGACGCATGGCCCGTTCTCAGGGTGCCCAGTGTCCTTTTTTTTTCAGCCTTTTGTGGACGGTAGAAACTTACCCATTTCCAGGGTCCCAGAGAGTCTGAGAGCTGGCCCTTCGTGGGTCTGACTCCCACAGAAGAAACCTACCAACCTCAAAGAAAAGTGCGAATGCTGCCTGCAGCTTGTGCTCTACACATTCTGGACTTGATGTTATACTATTATATGCATGCGGCATACAGTTATATACAGATCGCTTGCAAGTGAGACGCTGCTGGAGGCATTGCAACTCTTTGAAAGCCTTGGAGCAGTACAGTCGACACTGCCCCAGATGGCAAAGAGGCCGGGTTGATGCCATCTACTGTATGTAATTGAGATTCTGAACTTCCTCGTAAAGGTGATCATTGGAAAACCTTGATGTCATATTTTCTCAGATTTTTTGGTGATGTGAGTGGAGAGCTGCCCCTGTGACAAGGCACTTGGACAGCCTTATGGCAGGCCACTCTCCAGCAGCTGAGCAGGCAGAGGATTTGGGACACTCCGCACTCCAAAGTGTTTTTTTAGATTTTTTTCCGTACAAAGCAAACATGTCGACAAACACATGCGAGCAAAACGCGTTCTTGTTCTTTTTGTATTGTGCTCAAGGAGAATCCCACGTAAGACAGAATCTAGCATTGCTTTGTTGAAGTGTGAAGTATAACAACGTTGAAAAGGCAATTTCTGTCAAACGCATGTTCAACATCTTAAAACTGTTTATGTACTGTATATTAAAACACATTGTTTGTATTTCTTCCGATTCACAGGTGATTTTTGAGCTTGGCCACGGGCGTCGGCTTCGAAGTGTGCACGAGCTCTTGGCACTGCCTAGGAGCCCAAACGTCCCAAACGGTGAAACCAGGTAGTAACAAAGGGCATCGCTACTAGGAGCAAGGACGATGGTCACGGCACAGGGCAATATTCGTTCGCAGGCCGGTGCAATTGGAGCCGGGATCAGAGGCCACTTTGTGCCCAAATGCCTCGATGACTTTGTGTTTCACACCCAAAAGACAAAAAGAGTCTATATCGCCCCATGACGGTAATTGCCAGAGCCACTTTCAGGTCTACGCAGCCTTTTCGCGGTGCCATTCAAGATAGCCAAGCCAAAACAATCCAATTTGTACTCACTGCTCCGGATCAACTTCTTTTTGATTTTGTTTGTGTTCAAAGAGACAAGAGACAGGGAGAGGGAAGGAGACAGAGAGCATTGAACAATACAATACAACACATTGTTCCACAAGTGGCCAGGTGCCCAACATTGCACCAGAGACTTGGTCAAGTCTTCAGGCCTTTTGACAGCTGGATATGAACAACATGGTTGATTCGGTGTGATTCAAGCTGCAATGTTTCAAGGTTTCATTGAGACATACTCGGCAGTAGTTTCCCTAGCAAATTCACATCATTTCCTATTCAGGTGCATACACCCAGACTTTGTTCTACCAATGAGGACATGCGCTAGGAAGCAGGGGGTATTTTTGAGGCAAGTCCAGAGTATCCCTTTTGCCCTCATTCTCATCATTCTCTCATCTCCACAGTAGATGGTGGTTTTGAAACGGCATTGCATTATTTTAGCCCTTCTGAAGGCTACACAGCTTGGTGGGCTAAACTCTGAAAGTGCTGACGACCTTGAAGGCAAGTCTTGCTTCTTGCACGGCAATCGGACACAAAGATTCAGTTCAAGGCAACAATTTCAAGGTTGAGTGACCTTTTGTGGACCTCTAAGCATTATATAATTAATTATACCAGCATAGCATAGACTAGTCTTGCAACAGGCTGCCAAGCCATCAATGCATGCTATAAAGCAAAGTGCATCGCGGAGTTGTTTGACTGTCGCAACCACAAAAGCTTTTCTTTTTCTTGTTTGCCTGGGACCTGGGATATGTGCTTGACCGTGTTGTTGGAGGCAACCTCCCAGCTGACAATTTCCAAGGTGCCAGCGAATAGAAGGGACACCCGAGCCCCGCAAATCACGCGTGCATTGCTTGCGGCCTTGTCCTTTGACTCCGAGCATATCTTCCACTACAGGCCGTTCCTTGCTGGACGAGTTGGCCATGCAGTGGGAGATGAAGAGAAGTCAACAGGCACCTGTGATTCACAAGCGGTTTATTGCGGTCAGCGGTTAGGCGGTTGACTGCGCAACCTACACTGGTCAGAAGAGGCCAATTGCTTTGCTCTAGGCGCAAAGGCTAAAGACGTACGTAGTCAACAGCCAGTGATTTTGACTCAACTGGGTATGATGGCTCGCTTCTTCCTGATCCCACTGTACTTTATTCTGAACCAACATCCACTATCTTGGCGGAGCATGAGCTGATCTTCAGGAGCGTGCAGCAGCGAAGTGCAAAGAGTTGATTGGATTTGTCTTAGCAGCCGCGCACCCAGAGCAGACAGATCAGATTCAGTTTTCAGCAGTCACAGTCGCAGGTTTAGGTGCACATGTCTCACCCTGTGTGGTATTTTCCTATTCCTTCCAACATACATCTAACGGATCGTATGATCTAGGCGCGGGGACTTCGCACTTATACTGTAATATCACTTACGAAAGCCAGCCGATAGGCTAGGCTGGAGTTGTCGATGGGCGAACGAAGTGAGTATAGGGGGTGCGGGGTGGGGGTCGCAGGGCAGGTCCCGGCGGGCAGGGTGGACCCAGAGACTGGTGGGGGAGAGCGAAAAAACAAATAAGAACGAGCGTGAGGTAGTGACAATGTATGTTTTAGGGAGAGCCCCCTTTTTTTCGGGGGGTCTTGGTGATGTGAGTGATGCAAGTGACGCTGAATAGTGCATCATTAGCATCACGAAGTGCTCAGGAGATTATTTATATATGTTTTGTGAAATCCGCTGTTTTGCAGGTCGCATGAGCATTGGCCTCGACGTCCGCAGCCATTTGCTAGACCCGAGTGGTCCACCCGCGTGGTCCACCCTCTCCCGGCCTGACCGGCCCTTGTTCGATCGTTGTGCCATAGCCCGGGCTTCATCGCCCCGGCCGTTCGTGGAGACAGACTTTCGTCCTGGCCTGTCCGCTGGAAAAGAGAGGGAGCAGCCGCTTGTGATTCTTTTTTGTTGCAGTGCATTGCATCATTTACATTGGAAACCTCCGCACCAGTTTTCAAACTGGTAGCGGAGCCAGGTCAATCCTGGCTCCACTGTGCTACTCCGCAATGACATCTGGAACAGATCGGGCCAAGCTGCCATATTACAAGGATGATGAGATCTTAGTTGACTCAGCAGGTATTCCACATTTTTCTGGCGCAGTTCCATCGTTGTTCAAGGAGTACAGGCAGCGTGTGTTGTTTGCATTTCAAGGACTCGAAGGAGATGGCAAGACCAAGGAGGAGGAAGAGCAGGATTTAGCTCGCAAGCAACGACGCTTTGCACGTCGTCTCATTGATGGTTTGCATGGCGAAGCATGGGTTGCATGCCAAGAGTTGCTGAAAGATCCGGAAGCATTGAAGGCAACAGATGCATACAAGAAAGTGTTTGAAGCCCTCGCTGGCATTGAGAAGGAGGTGATCATTCGCAAGACAGAAGCATTTGAGAAGTTTTTCGATCGCAGCCATCGTCGTCGAGGTCAGGACATCTACACCTACATCAGAGAGAAGCGACAGTGTTGGCGTGACTTGAAGGATTTGGACGATGCTTCAAACATGTCGGAAGATCTGCAGGCCTATTTTCTGTTGCGTGGAGCCAACCTCAGTCGTGAAGACCGTCCTGCAATCTTGTTGGCCAATCGTTCAGCCTACGCCCAAGAAGGCATTGAGCAAGCTCTCAAGATCTCCTACCATGATTTGCATGAACGAGAGAAAGCTCGTGGTGGCTATGATGAGAGTCGCTATGTTCGCCGTAAAGGCAAAGGCAAGGGCAAGCGGCAGTACAGCCATTGGGTTGAGGATGAACCGGATTCCGTAGAGCAAGATTGGTTGGATGAGTTGACAGAGGCTGATCCGGACACCGTTACAGAGTATGCAGCAGAAGCCCACGATGAGACCGAGTGGGAGCCTGAGGAGCCTTCATCAGACATCGGTGCATCAGGAGACGATGAGATCTTTCAGGCCTATGCTGCCATGGATCGCCAGAGAAAAGGCTATCAGGAGCAACGTCAGAAGCTCAAGAACTTGCAGAAGAGCAGAGGCTTTTTCGAAGGTGAGTTCACGTGGGAAGAGCGCCAGAAAGCCATCAGTCGTGAGAAAGAGCGCTCACGATGCAGTGCCTGTGGCCGCATTGGCCATTGGGCAGGTGATCCAGAGTGTGGAAAGACCGGAGGAGACTCAGCAAAGAAGAAGGGCAAATCTCGTGGCAAGGGCAAGCAGAAGAAGGGTTCAGCAAACGTTGTCAGTGAGATGCCTTTCCCCAGTTATTTCACGCTCGGTGAAGGAGATGAAGACCTCGGTTTCGTCTGCATGACCCATGATGAGGATGAGATGCCCATTGATGCAGGAGACCCCGACGGCCGCCGCCGTCGCATTCGTGAGCGTGACCGTCAGATTGCTGAGAGTGTGGTGAGCTTTCCAGATGGTCCACCAGAACCAGATCATGGCTATGCCCCCGAGCGAGTTGTCATTTGTGGCGTGCCATACCAGTCGGTTGAGGCAAGCACAGAGCAGACCATCCAGACCCTTCGTGAGCTTGGCATGGATGTTGAGCGTGTTTCCATCACCGAGGAGGAGCAGACCCTTACATTGTATGACAAGCGTGTGACTCAGTTGCAGGAGTTGTGCATTGGCTTCAACATTGCGCATTCGGGTTTGAAGAAGAATGAACTGATTGAGCGTTTGTCGAAGTTCTTCGGTGGTCACCCAGTGCCAATGCGTGGAGGATCCGGAAAGAAGTTCATTGTGAAGGAGCTCAAGGAAGGTGACCAAGGCATCATCATCACGCCGAAAGCCAAGCCAACGGCGAAGCCAGCCGCCAAGAGCAGTCCGGCGCCCACCTTGCCGGAGCATGCGCCTTTCATCGGACCTCGTGGAAGGTACACACAAGATGAGCTCTTCCAGGAGGACGTGCCAATTTGGCACATGAAGTGTGAGATTTGCCAGGCGGCCATGATCGGCAAGAGCAATCGCGAAGATGGTGGCAAGTTCTATGCATGCAGTCGGTACCCGATCACCGGTTGCAGGTTCACCATGAACTATCGTGATGGCATGATTCGCTTTCTTGAGTCGTTGGCAAGAGTGCAGGGCTTGGCAGCAGCCGGTGCAGGGCCTTCATCAGGCTCGGCGTCGGGTTCCTTTCGCTGAGGAGCATGTGGAGGAGGATCGAGCCTACATGGTTCGATCAGAGCTGCAAGAGAATTCAAGAACCTTGAGTGCAGAATTCGTTGATGGTGATGAGAATTTAGCTGACCCGTCTCTTTTGGCTTTACCGGAGGAGTTGGAGCGTGCTTACCATCAGATTGGAGAAGGAGCCGACGCCAACGAGGCCAAACTAGCTCTCATTGATACAGCTTGTACGGCTTGCACGCATTCTACATGTTGGCGCAGAGCATTTGAACAGTTCCTTCCACCTGGACTTCGTTGCGAACCGACGGAGATGCGCAAGCAGTTCCATTTTGCAAACGGGTCAAGCACACAAAACAGCGTGACAGTATGGAAAATTCCATTGTGTCTAGGCGGACGCTTGGGCACTGTTTTCTCTGCTGAAATTCCAGAAGGGAACACTCCATTGCTTTTATCCATGTCAGCCCTGGATTCTTTGGACGCAGTCATTTTCATGAGACAAAGGAAGATTCGTTTGCAAGAGCTGGGTGTTGAAGCGCCCTTGGTACACACAAGGACGAAGCACAGAGCGATTGAGGTGAGCTTTGACAATTTGTTTGATCCTGGCGAAGACACAGAGAAGCGAGCACCGATCTTGAAATCGGAGGCGGAAGATTTAGCAGTCTATTTTGCAGAGGAAGCTGAAGAGAGCATCTTACAAGATACCACACCTTTGTTACAGCTTGACAGCTTGGAAGAGGCATTTATGGTCAAACTTCCAGACCTGACGGCTCGTGGTGTGAGAAGAGAAGATGCTAGAAAACAGTTGCACGCTGCTAGATTTGAAGCCTTGCAACGGTCGGCCGTGTCGCAACGTGTTTTGGATCATCGCATGTGGATAGCATTGAAGCACAATGACAACAAAGCAGAAGACATGGCAACAAACGGCTTTAGTTGGACTATGATCTTTGAACCATGGTGTGGTACATTCCCAGTGACAAGACTAGCTGCAGCAACAAGAGGTTGGATCAACAGTCAGCCGCTTGATTTGTTGGATGGCTACGAAATGTTGAGCAGTCGTGGCAAAGCTTTACTTGATAACACACTGGAGCAACACAATCCATACTTGGTTTTGATCGCTTTCGATTGTCGTTTGTGGAGCACATTTACAAACCTCAACAGACACATTGATTGGGAAGCTTTGCGCAAAACAATAGGCAGAATGACCCTCAAGCTGGTCGTGAAGATTTGCAAAAGGCAAGTGCGAGAAGGGAGATACTATTTGATAGAAAACCCTGGTGGAGCATATAGCTGGATCTTTGAAGGAATTTTGATGACACTTGTTCAAGAGGGCATTGGCAAATTCATACAGAGTGATCACTGCCGTTACGGGAAAGTTGACCGCATGTCAGGAAAACCAGTCAAGAAGCGGACAGGTTGGCTTTCGAACAATGAGTTCATCTTGAACCAGCTTGGACTTCAATGTGAATGTCCGCCGGGAGCTCATGAGGAGATCATCGGACACCGCAGATCAAAAGAAGCAGCAGTCTACCCTAGACAGCTTTGCGAGGCAATCTTGAAAGGAGTTGAGCAGAGCATTGTCAATGCCCCGCTATTTTACAATCTGCTTTTCCAGTGCATGTTGTCGATGACGATGAGGTTGTTGACGTGTCTTCAGGGGAGGAGCCACCGCAACCGCGTGCACCTGGAATGTCTGAGAAGATCCGTCGTGAGATGGAAGAGTTTGAGGCGAGTTTGCCTCCACCACCAATGCCAAGAACAGAGTTGCCAGCAGAGGATGAGCCGGAAACACCTTTTCCAGTTGACCCTTCAGGTGATAGAGATGTAGCAGTTCCTGAAGCAGAACCTGTACCACCATCCCGTGCAACAGCAGCACCGATGACACCTAGCAATGTTTTGAGACGCAGGCCTAGGACTCAGGAGGTTCGCAGAGGTGCATGGAGCAAGTTGCATGGAGCAGATGTTCTGTTGACATTGCGTGAACCTTTACGCTGGAGTGTTGACAATGGTGCAGTGAATTGGTCTGTTTTGGAAGATCAAGAGCAGCTTGCAAAACGCTTGAAGGACATGGAGGTGGCGCAAACAGACGCGAACCTTATCCTTGTTTCACGTGTCGCACGTCGTATGAAGAAGCCGCAACCTTGGTTAGGCCCACTTGAGGCACCACTTCGGAATGCCATTCTGTTGATGGACAATGACGATGTCATTACAACAGGTTGGGAAGAGTGGACAAAGCAGCCAGTTTCTTCGCAGATTCGAGCACTTCCTACAAGGCCTAGGCAATTGGCCGTCATGTTGTTTGGAAAGGATGCACATGCATCACCTCCAGCGGAGGAACCGGAGCCTCAAGAGGCAGCTGATGCAAAGTGGAATCGTGTTCCACGAGAGTTGCGTTTAGCCCTTCGTCGCGTCCATGTGAACTTGGGACACGCTAGGTTGCCAGACATGTTGAGATGTTTGCGCATTAGTAGAGCAAGTGAAGCAGCAATCAGAGCATGCAAACTTTTTCGGTGCAAGGAGTGTCCTAGACGTTTGGAGCCAAAGATCCCTCGAACTTCAAAGCTGCCCGTGGTCGATGAATTTGGCATCATTGTTGGACTTGATGTTCTCGAGGAGAAATGTGCAGATGGCGTGAGTTGGATCTGGTTGAATATACTTGATTTGGCAACTACATTCCAAGTTTGTGCAGTCCTCGACCAGTCACACCGCAATCCCACAAGTGCTGAGATCTTGAACGCTTTTACAACACATTGGGCAAGCTGGGCAGGCATGCCTGAAAAGGGCGTTGTTGTTGATCAAACTCGGTATTTTATGGGTGAGTTTGCAAAGTTGCTTGAGGAGCATGGCTGTGAAGTCAACATTGCTGCAAAAGCATCACCTTGGCACATTGGCGCAGTTGAGAGACATGGTGGTACCTGGAAGTCAATCTGGCGTCGTGTTGCTTGGTCACAACAGATCAGTGGTGTGCAGCAAGTGAGAGTTGCTACGGCTGAAGTGAATAAGGCAAAGAATGCCTTGTCTCGCAGATCAGGTTTCTCGCCTGAACAATGGGTGCTCGGACGCTCTGTCCGTGTACGTGCAAACCTGCTGGACGATGGAGAAGTGGCCCGCATTGGAGCTCAAGCAGCTGCATTGACACCTGGCGCTAGGTTTTACAAGCAGTTGCAGTTGAGAACCGCTGCAAGAGAAGCTTGCGTTCGAACTGCAAACAGTGATGTTTTGAGAAGAGCAGAACTTCGCAAGGTTCGTCCAAGCCGTGGTCCTTTCCCAGTTGGTAGTTTTGTCTTTTACTATGACACGTCAGGTGCAGATGCAAAGCATGGACCACATTGTTGGAGAGGCATTGCAAGAGTACTTGGACACGACGGTAGTCACACCGTTTGGTTGAGCCATAGAGGTATCCTTGTTGCAGCCTCACCGGAGCACCTCAGTTTAGCAGACGATGATGAAGTGAAAGGTTGGATGGTGACAAGTCGTGAATCAGAGTTGATTGACGCAACACCCTCAGTCAGCTCAAACACCTTCTTGGACTTGAGGCGGAAGCTGCCGCCACCTCCAGACGGTTTCACTGAGGAGATGGATGACACGCCAGAGATTCAACAAGAGACAGATAGAGCAGTTGAAAATGTTCCCAGACCAAGTGCAGTGGTTGAAGAAGAGCCGAAGGACGTCATCATGAGTCCGTCCATTGCACCAGCAGAAGAAGCAGTTGAACCAGAGGAGACAGCCGAGGCAAGAGAAAAGAGGCTCGGAAAAGAATGGTCCGAGCGTGATCGGAAGCGCGTGGTCCGATCCAGTGAGTTCTTCAAGAAGAAAGAGCAAGACCGCAAAAGCAAGAAGGCAGTTTCCATTTCGTCTTCAAGGTCGGCGCCCTCTTCACTCGAAAAGATGCTTGAGGAAGCGGCTAAAGCGCCCGTCGATCCTGAAGAAGATCCAGAGTTGGAAGGATCCGAGATGGTTCCTTTTGACCTTGATACAGATGATTATCATCAGGCACAAATAGCACCAGAGATTCCACCGCTTGAAACCACCACAGCTAGAGCAGAGGCGGAGGAACGTGCAGCCAAACGCTTGAGGACTAACAGTCCAAAGCCACGTGAGGGAGCAATGTTTTCCTACATGGTTTCGCAGGACCCCAATGTTTGGCTGGAGAGAGCACGATCGCAGTACATGGAGAAAGAGCATTTTTACAGCAGTTTGCGCGTGAGTTTAGAAGAGTTTATGTTTGGGGTTGAGCGAAATGTTTTTGATGATCGGTTGGAAGCTCTACATGAGGAGTGTTTTTCTTCAGAAATGTCAGAAGCAAATCCTCTTAGTCCCGGTGGCAGTTTGAATGCAGCAGCAAAGAAAGGACGCAAAGAAGTCCAATTGAAAGACCTTTCCCCAGAGATTCAAGAATTATTTACAGGTGAAGGTGGATCAGATGGCAAAGAGTGGCAAGGTTGGCAAGACAAAGATGCTTGCGATGTCCTGAGTTTAGAGGACAGCCTAGAAGTGCGGCGCCAGAAGCCAGACTTGATTGTTCCAACACGTTGGGTCCGCGCAAACAAAGCTGAAAACACTGCCGTTGATCCATACAAGGCGAAGTCGAGATTGGTTGTCCAAGGATTCAAAGACAAATCCTTAGGGCGCTACCGCAGAGACGCCCCGACAGCTTCACAGATCGCAGAGAGCATTTTGCTTTGCCTTGTTGTTTACTTTCGTTTCATTTTGATCAGCAAAGATGTGAAGAATGGATACTTTTGTGGCAAGCCTTTGGAACGGGAAATTTTTCTTGAGCAGCCTCGTGGAGGCCTTCCTGGTTTGCAGCGTGGAGTTTTGTTGAAAGCAAAGAAGGCAATCTATGGTTTCGCAGAAGCCGCTCGTTTGTTTTGGCTCGCATTAAGAGAACACTTGATTAGCGATGGATGGGTTGAGAGTGTTTTGGAACCAGCACTTTTCTACCATCGAAATGAAGATGGAGGTTTGAACGGTGTTCTTGGTGTGACACATGTCGATGACATTGAAGGAGGAGTCGAACCCGGATTGGAGAAAGAACTTTTTGCAAACAGTTCTAAAGCCCTTGATTTCGCCACGAACCATCGGCTCAATTTCACTTTCAGAGGTCGTGAGTTGTCACAGCAAGAGCTGAAGGATGAGCATGGTCAAGTTTTTGGCGGCCACATTGATGTGAGCATGCGTAACTGCTTTGGGCATGAGTAAGATCAAGATCGACAAGAGTCGAAGAGAAAATGTGGACGCTGAATTGAATGCTGAAGAGAAAGAGATTTTGAATTCAGGAGCAGGTGAACTTGGTTGGATTACCAGACAGCTTCGCAGTGCGAACTAGATATTGGAGTGATGTTAATTTAGAGAAAGGAGCATTGATTTATTTAGCAGACTCCGGACATGCAAATGGGACACCGGAGAAAGATGATATTTTGAGATACAGATCAGTTGGCGGTTACTACATTTTGATTGGTGACCCGTCAGTATTGGAAGGTGAAACAGTTCGAGCAAACCTCATTTGCTATCATAGCAGCCAGACCAAAAGAGTTTGTCGAAGCACCTTGGCTGCCGAAGCAAGTCACCTTTCAGAGTCGATCGAGGCCGGAGATTGGATAGCAGCGCTTTTACATGAAGCCTTCCACGGTAGTGTTGATTTGAAGAATTGGCCCCAGATCATTGAGCAAAGAATGAGAATTTATGTGACAGATGCACGTTCAGTTTTTGATTATTTGAGTAAAGATGCCACTTCGACCAGTTCAGATAAGCGCATGGCCATTGAAGGCGCGCTTCTCAGGGGGACAGTTCGTCGTCCCGGTGCACATGTTCGCTGGATAGACGGTCAACAGAACACGGCGAACATACTTACTAAAGCTGGAGCTGACAAAGAGGTACTTTTGAACTTTCTGAAAGATGGATATTTTTCGTTGGTGCAAACAGAAGCAAATCGGCTGCAGAAGGAGAAACAGCGAAATCGTCGAGCCCAACAAAAGAAAACTATGAGTGTGAAATCCGCTGTTTTGCAGGTCGCATGAGCATTGGCCTCGACGTCCGCAGCCATTTGCCAGACCCGAGTGGTCCACCCGCGTGGTCCACCCTCTCCCGGCCTGACCGGCCCTTGTTCGATCGTTGTGCCATAGCCCGGGCTTCATCGCCCCGGCCGTTCGTGGAGACTGACTTTCGTCCTGGCCTGTCCGCTGGAAAAGAGAGGGAGCAGCCGCTTGTGATTCTTTTTTGTTGCAGTGCATTGCATCATTTACATTGGAAACCTCCGCACCAGTTTTCAAATGTTTATATATATTGTCTATTGACCAGAATAGTTTGGGTAGAGGACAAGACAGGGAGACTGCGTGACAGGAAATGCAAGAAACGAGGTCGCCCCGCTGAGGGAGCTGACCAGGCCAACCGGGTGTGTCCATCCAATTGGTGGACAAAAGCGGCGGCGAGACTCTGTGCAAGCTAGAATCTCTTTCTCATAGAGATAGCTTTCGGACAACTCAGGAGGACACTTGCGGGTTTCATCTTTACAGCTGCGTCTTGATATGGGATCTCCTCTTTGCTCCTAAAAGAAAGCTGCAACAAATGGGGGCGCCCCACATTGAGGTGGGAGAGGAAATACAATGTAGGCAGGAACCTCTGAGTTGCTTGGGGGTGCCCTCTTCTTTTGAAAAGGTGAAAAGGTGTTAGCCGGATGAACAATGGGCACCTCTCAGAGCTATAGATGCAACGGAGTCGGACTTTTTGCGCGGATCGAAGTCTATCCTATGCCCAGTATAACAGCGGAGGAGTTGATGCAGGCGTCATGTATATCGGCTCTATCATATCGAGCCCCAATGCGAAACTCTGCGTCTCTCAACCTTCTGTTTTCCCGTGGCTAATAAGAGTAGAAAGAAATGCAAGAAACGATGGCGCCCCACACTGAGGGAGCTGACCAGGTTGTTGAAGGGGCGAGACTCTGTGCAAGCTAGAACTTTCATCAGTCACAAGACTTTCATCTGCGCTTACGTAACATTCATCGGTCCACTTTAATGGGCACTCACTTTCTGCTCCGCCGCAGAGAAGCGGGGAGACTCTGTACCACCAGAGAACCTCTAAGCTCTAAGCGCTCATAGAAACAGCGTTTCCCGTTTCACAACTCAGCCGGACATTTCCAGACTTCATCTTTACAACTACATATTCACATAAGATACTGAGGCAACCTCACCAGGTTTGTGAGTCCAGGTACGAGACAGGAGAGGGAAGCAGAATGCAGGCAAGCGCCCCTCACTTGCTTAAACGTGCCCTTTTTCTGTGTGAAAGCGGCCTTGAACCAAGAGAAAAACCACCCCCCCGAACTGCGAATGTCCTGCTCAACTCAACCTTTGTCCTAACGCACGGGCTCTATCCTATAATCACTAACAGTGAATGGGCCTTGATCAAGGCCTTGTATATAACGAGCCTATCATATCGACCCTCAATGCGGGACTTTGCGCCTCTCTGCCTTCTATTTCCCCATGCCTAACAGCAGTAGAGGTCACTGCAATGTCGACTTCACCCCATAACAACAATGATATATTGTTACGGAGGCTTGCTTTCATTTCCTCCCTTCTCCGGTATGTTTTTTTGTAATCATGCCGTGCATCTTCGTTTATAGCACATTGCGCTGTGGCACTTTGCATCAATTTCAACTCACTAGTCACTGGTTTGCAGGACGTGTGATGCATGTTGTGTATTTCACTCATGGGCAAGACTTTACGAGCTGGCTTGGACGCGCTGTTGGCTGCTGCTGAGGGGCTGAACGCCGCACCGTTGCTGTTGGCTGCACCACACCCCCTGGGTCTCGTAGCACGGGACGAGCTGCGTGGCAGCGGAGGCTTTGAGGCCCAGTGGCCTACAGGCGTCGCATGGGCACAGATTTCTTGGTGAGACTCTTATCCAACAAAAAAGGAAAGGACAATCCCCATGAGTATTACTATATATATATATACTTCCATTTCTGTTGACTTGATGCTGTTTGTGAAAGCCGCGGAACTCACATTTGAACTTGCAATAGTCTCTGGACTTTGAACCACGTTCTACATGGCAATTGACAAATTGAAGAGTCTAAGTCTAGGCGTTGTCAACTCTCCGTCCTCATTCAGTGTTGATTTGGGATCGTCTCCACTCTGATCCGCACTGCCAGATTCTTCCATAGCGAGCTTTTGACCCAACGGCTTCGCACTAGAGCACCACAAAGACGAGTTTTGCCCAGGACTGTTCATTTCTCTATGAATATATATATATATATGTACATATATATATATATATATTGAGCAAATTCATGTTTTCTGTGTATATTTCCATACACTATACTTCGCACACAGATCCTTGCCAGGGTGGTATGACGTTGACTGGGGACACCCATTCTTTCGTCTCGGCCTTGTTGCCTCGGGCTAAGAGGGCCGGGCGTACTCTTCGTAGCGATCAGCATTAGTTGGTGGCAGAGGCTTGACCCCAGGTTGGGGGGGCGGGTCCGTCATTCGAGGGGGAGGCGATGGGCGTTCAACGCGTCACCTTGTCCTCGAGCTCGGGGGAGCCCGATCGTTAATTCACCTTCGAGCATTATGCACACATATATATATATATATAGATGGCCTTGGGGATCGACCACCCACGTTTCCATAGCGAAAGTAGACGGTTCAGCTTCCAGGTGGTGCTTGAGATAGGCCCTTTGCTAAATCAAACTTGGGAGTTGTGCTTTAGAGTCGTGCCAATTGTGTTTGGGCATCCGTGAGTGTGTGCGTCAGGTCTTGAGGGACCAGGACTTCCTCCAGAACGGTAGAGGTGAGCTGCGCGGTGCTGTGCGCCTCCGCCTCCGGATGCTGTCAGAGGAACGCTGGTGGCCTGGGTTGCCCAGACTGGAGAGTTGTTTATGCCAATTTGCAAGACAGCCTAGTACCTACCTGCTCCTAGTAGTTCGGGCAGGAGCCCCTAGTAGCGTCCTTGCTCCTAGTAGCGATGCCAGGAGCCCCTAGTAGCTACTTTCTCCTAGTAGCTACTGCCTATTTCGTTTTACTCTTGCAGGGCAGTACTCCGGGTAGGGCTGCTCTTGTTGTTTTGGTCCGTATGACTAGGCGGTTCTTTAGTGGGACCCTTGGATCGTGTCAATAATGTCTTGTACACTCGGGTATTGTGGGACTCGAATCTTGGGATCCTGCGATTTGGAGGTTGATCCTTCTGCGGGCCTCAGCTGTGGAGAGGTGGATTGTACCAAAAGAGCGGCAGCTGTTCAATCGTCAGCTGCAGGCGAGTGGCGGCTGTGAAAAATCATGTGAAATGTTTTGAAAGGTGAGCAGATGTTTCACCAGATGATTTGAATGTACGGTCAGCTCATCAAGCAGGCATATCATTTTTTGTTGGTCATCCTGAAATGGAGTGGTGATCTGAGGACTTCCTTTGCAGAGTTTGAACCACGAATCCTTTGTCTCAGATATTAATGGCAAGTTCTGCCAGAGTCTGTGGCAGGCTCGCGTAGCTCGTGCAAATAAGCTCTACCCGCTGGAGCAAAAGCGACTTGGATTCAATACAATATATATAAATAAAGGAAAACACACACACATATATATATATAGAGTCCAGTTACTAGTAGCCTTTGATACTAGCAGCTTCTTGTTACTAGCAGCGATGCGCGTTGTTACTTGTTAACCAAAGGATACCACAGGATATATAATATATGTAGAGAGAGAACTTCGGGAACGTGTCAAAAAGATTAATGCCTTTACACTATTTTTTGCACCTCGAACGCAAGCAGGGGGAGTAAGAACACAATACCCGTGTTTTCGAATCGGGCATGTACACATTATAGAAGCATCATCAATGTAGGAAATGAGATGCCCAAAGCTGCCTGAGCAAGGTTGCTTCAGAGAAGGATGCGGCACCTTGACCAAGAGGCCGCGCTGTTGGATACAATGCCGTTGTTTTCGTCTTCAATTTCCAGGAACAGGTGTGCCGATCAGAGCTGCCTGCGAGGCAACAGAACTGCGCAAGCTCTTCACCCAACAGTTGCTGAGCTTGCAGTTCATAGAGTATATATATATATATTTCAAGGCTTACGCCTAACAGCCGGGCGCCGGCCCACTTGGGTGTGTGGGGGGGGCCTATGTTGGCCGTAGTGGGGCCTGTATTGAGCAAAGTTAAGCTATCTGGTGCGCATCTTGGCCCTAGGTGGGGCCCATGTGGTGTATGTTGGGCACATCTTGGGCCCATGTTGAGCCTATGTTGGGCCTATGTTGGCCTATGTTAGGCCTATGTTGGCCTATGTTGGCCTGGGTTGGGCCTATGTTGGGCCTATGTTGGCGGATGTTGGCCTCATGTTGGCCTATGTTGGCTGGGCATATGTTGGGGATATGTTGGCTATCTTGGGCCTATGTTGGGGATATGTTAGGCGATTTATGTTGAAAAATCTTCCGATACAACTTTTTACGATTTTTTTCCTTCCCGCAAAGCAAAAGCCATGAAAAAACCTAGGCTTTTTGACATCGCCAAGATGAAATTCTCGGCTGCCGAGGGGCCCGAAACCCTGTAAAACACAGTGTTTTTATACCTCACACACACGATACACTGTAAATTACAGGGGCTTCAGTTGACCGGTCATCCCCCCGTTTTCATGACGAGGGTCGGCGGCAGCCGGCGCGACCGTCTATAACCTTCGGTTACCACCGAAGGCCTCCGGCAAGGACACGGGCCCGTGGCCGGCGCCCGGATTTAAAGGCTTACGCCTAACAGCCGGGCGCCGGCCCACTTGGGTCTGTGTAGGGCTGGGTCGGGCGCACGTTAAGCTATCAGGGGCATACTGGGCCCTGGTGGTGCCGGAAACTGGTCTGCGTCGGAGACGGGGGCCCTATATTGAGCAAAGTTAAGCTATCTGGTGCGCGTCTTGGCCCTAGGTTGTTGGGCCAAGTGGGGCCCATGTGGTCTATGTTGGGCATGTTGAGCCTCTCCTATGTTGGCCTAGGTTGGGCCTATGTTGGGCCTATGTTGGCCCCATGTTGGCCTATGTTGGCCCTATGTTGAGCCA